TATTATATAATATATAATACCCCTTTTGCGGTGTATATGCACATTTACGGTGTACAGTCAGCTAATTAATTAATTAATTAAATTAATTAATTAACATAATTAAATAAATAAATAAATAAATAAATAATTTATTTATTTATTTATTTATTTATTTATTTATTTATTTATTTATTGTTGTTGTTCTTCCTGATTATCTTCATCAACAAAGTCATTCATATTTTCTAATAAATAATTCGCCGCCATCTCCTACAAATAAATAAATAAATAAATAAATAAATATATAAATAAATAAATAAATATAATTAATATAATTAATTAATTATATTAATTAAATTAATTAAAGGAAGAAGACGAGCAGCAGCAGCAGCACAGCAGCAATTATAGCAGCAGCAGCAGCAGCAGCAGCAGCACCTATATATCTATAGCAGCATAAAAACATTAGCAGCAGCAGCAGCAGCAACAAATGCAGCAGCAGCAGCAGCAGCAAATGCAGCAGCAGCAGCAGCAGCAGAATTACCTCGTTGCGGTCGCATGCAATATATGCCTCAGCAACTTGAAGTCTTGTAAACCCCAATGCCGTCAGCTGCAGCAACAAACCCTAAACCCTAAACCCTAAACCCTAAACCCTAAACCCTAAAATATTCGTAAGAAACCACGAATCCCCTTAGAAACCCTACACTGTTAATAAGGGTTTCCTATAGTTTGAATATAAGGGTTTATTAACTAGGGTTTATTAATTAGGGTATACAAAAAGGGTTTAAGGTGAATGATTAGGGTTTAGGGTTATTATTAGGGTTTATAATTAGGGTTTAGGGTTTACCCTATCAACAGCAGCCATTTCTTCTTCTGTTAACTGTAATACCCCACCATTAAATAAATTATTATTATTATTATTATTATTATTATTTACTAAACCCTCGTTACTTCCTTCTCTTAATAAATCTAAGAAAGCCTCTTGATTCTGGGTTATTAACTGTATATACACCACAAAACCCTAAACCCTAAACCCTAAACCCTAATTTATAAATTATATATATTTATTTATAATAAATATTATATATAATAAATATTTATTTATGTAAATGTTATGATGATGGGGACAAACAAATAAGGAAAATATACAACAATAACGTAAGGAATTACATAAACCCTAAACCCTAAACCCTAAACCCTAAACCCTAATTACCTGCAGTAATTCAGGGTTTGATGATCCAATCATCTGCAGGACTTGTGGCAACATTTGAGGGTTTGTCTATAAACAAAAAAAAGAAAAAAAAATAAATAAATAAAACTGCTGCTGCTGCCTGCTGCTGCTGCTGCTGCTTGCTGCTGCTGCTGCTGCTTGCTGCTGCTGCTGCTGCTTGCTGCTGCTGCTGCTGTTTTCTTATAAGACTAACCTGAGCAAGTTGTCTAACTTGATGGAAGACAGGATGAGTTCTTAGTCCTGCTAATGGATTATCTGCTGCTGCTGCTCCTCCTCCTGCTGCACCTCCTGCTGCTCCTGCTGCTGCTGCTGCTGCTGCTGCTACTGCTGCTGCTGCTGCTTCTCCTTCTGCAGGGTCTGCTGCTGCTGCAGCATTTGCTTCCTCACCAGGAGCAGCGGGCATCAAATCCTCCGGTATGCCCTGCAGCAACAGCAACAGCAGCAACAGCAGCAGATATTAGCAGCAGCAGCAGCAGCAGCAGCAACGGCAGCACCAAGAACAGCAGCATCAATAACAGCAACAACAGCATCAGCAGCAACATCAGCAACAACAACAGCAGCAACAAAAACAACAGCAACAGCATCAACAACAACTGCAGCAACAACAGCAACAGCAGCAGCAACAACAACAACAACAACAGCAACAGCAGCAGCAACAGCAACAGCAGCAGCAGCAGCAGCAGCAACTAACATTCATAAGATATTCAACAGCTCTTTCTGGATTATTAAATGCTGCTCTTAGTGCAGCACGAGCATCAGCAGCAGCAAAACCCATCTCCTGTAGACGCTGTACAGCCTGCAGCAGCAGCAGCAGCAGCAGCAACAGCAGCAGCAGCAGCAGCAGATGACACACACAGTAATTACTTCTATTAAAGTACATATAAGGGAAGCTATACTATGCTGCTGCTGTTGCTGCTGCTGTAGCTCCAACAGCAGCAGCAGGAGCAGCAGCAAATGGTATTAAATAACTGCAGCAGCAGCAGCAGCAGCAGCAGCAGCAGATGAACGAACCTCCTCTAGCTGTTGGCCTGTGAGTAAAGAAGAAGCAGACTCTGTTAATGGATCAGTAGCCCGTTGCTGCTGTTGCTGTTGCTGCTGCTGCTGCTGCTGCTGCTGTTGCTGCTGCTCTTGCTGCTGTTGCTGCTCTTGCTGCTGTTGTTGTGGTTCTGCTGCTGTTCCTGCTGCAGCTGGTGCAGCAGCAGACCCTGAACTCTCGGTTGCAGCATCAGCAGCAGGTGCTGCAGCACCAGGAGTTGCAGCAGCAGAAGATGATGTTGTTGTTGCTGCTGCTGTGTCTGCTGCTGCTGCTGTTGTGGAGGCTTGCTGCAGCAAATATTTACACACACAAACCCTAAACCCTAAAACCATGAGGAGCAAGAATTAATGATGGAGGTTTGTCTAGGGTTTAGGGTTTACACGAGGGTTTACTCGATGATTTGCACGCAAAGGGTTTACAAGGGTTTAGGGTTTACAAGAGGATTTAGGGTTTATGAGGGTTCCTACAATTTTAAGAAAAAAAATTAGGGTTTAGGGTTTAGGATTTTTTAGGGTTTAGGGTTTCTCTAGGGTTTAGGGTTTGCATACACCATAATAACGAGTACAAAGAGTAAATAATAATAATAAATAAAATAATAATGTATATTTTATTAATCATATAATATTTATCCTTTTATAAATAAATAAAAAAAAAAAAAATTTGAATTTTAGGGTTTAGGACTTTTTAGGGTTTAGGGTTTGTTAGGGTTTAGGGTTTAGGGTTTAGGGTTTAGGGTTTAGGGTGTATATAGATGCGAACCTTATTAACAAGTACGACGAGTTTATCATGATTATGTATATGATAGAATTGTATATCTTGTTCATCATGTAATATTTTACCCTTATAAATAATAATTAATTTATTATTATTTAATCTTTTTATTTTTTCTTTTATTTTTTTTTTTAATTCTTTTATTTTATCATTAGGGTTTATAATTATTTCACATTCTTCTGTACCAAGTGTACGAACACGTACATTTAACATTTTTATTGTATTTTTTTTTTTTTTTTTTTTTTTTTTA